GCACACCAGACATAAAGCACAGACACACACATGAAGCCACATATTCCTCGATTTTCTCCCCGTCTCATTCTCTCTTTTCTCCTTGTTGCTCTCCTCACAGAAGCAAGAGCCTCTCCCGGTTTGGAGTCGACAGGACATTTATCAGATCAACCCGTTTTATATTACCTTGAGATGAAAAGCACAGTGACCTCAGCTCATATAATCTACAATAATGTGGGTTTATTGAAAAAAGGGTTGTGAAAGATTGTCTCTCTGAAACAGACAAATGTTCTTATATTTCACTGCTGGTGTTTTATGCATAATGCTCGAAAATAGCAGAATTTTCTCCCTTGCAAGAGGTGTTAATTGGTTTATCCTGAAATCTGTGATTAACAACTGGCTGACTGTGAATATGGTAATAAGAGAGGCTGACTCTGTGCCTGTGGATGTTGTTTTGGAAGGTGGAAAAAAAAATGTGTTGCTGCTTCAATTTAAATCTGATATGATTTCTGCTGAGCAAAGTGCTGTTTGTGTGCGTGTCATCTGATGAAGATGATTTTCAACTTTTGCACTCAGCTGAGTCAACACTGTCCAAATACTGACATTTATCACAGACGGAAACGCCTACTCTTGTTTCTAATTGTCAAGTCACCTTTCCTGAAACTGAATGTAAACTGGAGAAGTAATGAATTCATTATGTGAGCATTTGAGGTTTTGTTTCAAAAGGATGGCAAGTTCCTACCATACAGTTAAATAAAATATAAAGTTTATGTCCAAATCTGCCAGCTCTTTTCAATCTTTTAATAATAAAAACTAAGGTGGTGGAGGGGACAACAAAAGCACTCAAGAGGGCAGCCATGAAGTTTAAACTTGGACTCAAGTAGGTCTTTCTAATGGACAAGAGGCAGCTCTCTGATAATTATAGGAGCTGGCAAACTGGCTAAAAACATTAAGAATTAGAACTGATTAAAAGCCTTGCAGTGAGAAATAAATTGATTGTTTTTCAAACAGTAAATATCAGCTGTAAGCCACATTTAAAAGTAACAAGAAAACGCTATTAGCGTCTTCATATTTTATGATTGTGATTAAAAAAAACATCTTCTATACTTATTGTAGAATAGCTTATTGAATTGAGACAAAAAGACACATTTCACCAACAGCTCAACCTTTAGACAAATGGGTATTTATTTCTTTATTCAAAAAATTTGAGGCAATAAGTCACTTCATACTCTATACAGCACGGTAATACATTTTGATACATTCATGAGGCAGAAAAAATGTTTAATTATGCAAGCCTGTACAGTCACATAAAACAGTTTTAAATACTGCCATGAAGAAAAATAAAAAGAAAGTACTTCTGTAGAAAATCACAATCCCATAAAACACTGAACTGAAATGCAAGAAGCTTCATTTGCACATTCAGGTATATATAATCATAACAATGTGCTGTGTGTATTCATCTTCGTCTTATATTAAATACGTCATAGATTTCATATATTACTAGTTCTATGGCACAAACTGATTTAAAGCTTCAGTCTAAGACAAACTTTATTTGTGCGTACACTTGTTCACCCACGCACACACTCACTCACACTCACTCCAAGGAGCTGAGCACGAAGAGAGAGAAAGAGAGGAAACTGAGGATGTGTGGAGAGACAGCACAGTTTACCCCTCTGACTGACCTATGCTTGTTTATCTTCTTAATATCAGGCTCCAGAAAATATAGATCCCCTATTTTTTTCCTTCATAATCAGAAATATTTCTTGGCAATGACATCCCCTCCCACACTTGTTCCCATCCTCTATGAAAGACCTCACCTTGCAGAGTGGAGGGGACTGCTGGATGTTACACTTTACTACTGTTTTTGGTTTCCCAACATGTCTGCCTCCCGCATGGCATTCGGGTGCGAGTCCCTCACAAATGTCACATGAACATGAGAGAAAAGCTGGATGGAGCCGACATGGAAGTGAATGTCAGGTCAACGCCGATCTGGCACCAGCTCCTCAGGGCCGAGGCAGAAACAATGTTTCCGCAATTTTACCTTCCTAATGACCACAACCTGCTCATTTAGCAGTATTGATTAAAATAAAGCACATATTTTAGCTCCATTACATTCAGTGCTGGGAAGAGTGGGGGGTAGTTAAGGATCTCACTGAGTGATTATTGGTTATTGACCCGCTGGTCATTCATCTCCATTAAATAATGCACAACATCCCCTGGCTTCCCCTCATGGTCTTCAATTATGGGCATCAATTTTCTGATGACAAAACATGGAGTAAAATCATTAGTACGCCCATAGCATGAAAGACTCCGAGGTAATCAGTGAAGGCGTAAAAGAGGACACTTGAGAAATTAACTTTGAGCAAGGGCTTTAAGGCATAACGTGCAGGAAAAAGACGAATGAGATGGAGGAGGTGAGAAACAGATGGCAATCGCCAATACTTCATTCAGTTCGCAGTTGTGGAGAAAATCAATTAGCGAAGCACAAAAAAAAATTTGAATTTCACAGAAGACACGTCAGTTTTAGGCTGTGTGAGCAGCAGAAAGCAGGATATTGGAGATTTTTCCAAATGAGGTAAATTAGAAAATTGGTTCCTGCAAAGGTAATTGTTAACTCATACAAATATTTCCTCTGTAATAATAACACCTTTTATTTTTTTTAATAGCCGTTGTGGCATTTTGCAGTGAAACTGCGAAGGATTTTCAAATCAGTTTTCTAGAAAGTTCAATGCAAAAATATCTTTAGACACAATGTTGGCAACCTGTTCTATATATATATATATATATATATATATATATATATATATATATATATATTTATATATATATATATATATATATATATATATATATATATATATATATACTGTACAGTAGACCTATTATCATGGACCTCTTGACTGATTACTTTAATCTATATATATCTTAATCATTTAAGATGTTTTATGTTATGTTGAATTAATAAACAAACTCTTGTTTCTCCTTTTTTTTAAATTTAACTTGTGAAAATACCCTTATTTTTATTTTAATGTTTAGAGACTATATTCTCATTAAGGAATATGCTTAAAATCCACTGTAAAGCCTTAAAAATCCTGATTCTCGGATCAGTTTAATTATAAACATTTCAATAACAATTTATTTTTCTGCATTTAACTAATAGAGGTTATTAGGAATGTTCCTGTCAGGAACATTTGACGACCTCAGATGATCAAGATTGGACGTTTGCTAAGACCGCAGGTCCTGTTCAAGTGTGCATTAATGAGATTAAATTAATGGTTTCTTTAAGTTTGACAACAAAATAACTATAAAGTGCAGAAAATACCCAAAATTTCATCAGTATTATATGGTCATCATCAGTCAATTACTCACCATTGATTCTCCGGTCTCTAGTAGCTGTTTTCTATACAGTAACCAACATTTATCCAAGCTACTACTTCTCCAGGTTTATATATAGATACATGTTTTTTTCTCCAATATTAAAACTAGCATTATAGCCAATTTATCTGTAATATTGTCCTGACAATGCATCACCTAAGATGAGCATAGCTTTATCATTTGTTTGGAATCTTTCCTTCCTCTGTTTTTGTGCAGCACCATTAGGCTGCAAAGCTAATGTTGGCATGATTGCTATCTGTTTTGATTGTTGATAATTTTGTTTGTAGCACTTCAGTTTGGTTCCAGTAATTGTGTGAGGAGTCTTACAGAAAAGGATTTTCTCCTATTTCACAAACTTGGCGCCTATCTTGCAAATTGTAAAATATAATTTAGTCCATGTTTTGGATGTTGATATTTGCTCAGACAACTATGCCAACATAGTTGAGTTTCATCAGTATTTTGGACACAGATGCATTGAAACTGACTTGATGTGGAACCTAAATCCAAACCTGAGATCTGACTTTCCCACAAGTTGTGCTATAATATTATGCAAACCGCCAAGTAGGACGGTAAAAAATCTTAAATTATTTTGTACATGACAGAACTATACTGCATGTTGAGATTTTGCTTGTGGATGGATGCTTGTGAGAAAAAGAAGATGTTATTTGACCTATAGGGGGCAACACTTTTGATTTTTAACTCAGAAAGTCAGACTTCCAATCACAAACAAAGCTATCATTATATGTTTCTCCTAAATCTTTCATAAACATAGTGCAGTCCAACTTCTACTGGGAATCATTATGGTACTTGAATTGAAAAAAATGCAAGATAATAGAAATAAAAAGTAACCATGACTGATTTATATCTAAAGTAATATTTTAAATTTAAAGACTTGTTTCCTCTTCCTGTCCAGCATTACCATTTTGGATGGTAAGGAGACATTGGGGCACAATACTAAAGACAGAGTGTCAAAATACCAATGAAGATTTATAAAAAACCAATCAATAATCATATTCAGTAAATTTTTATATTGTTTATGAAAAAGTGTATCCATTATTTTTACATGCTATTTTGAATAAAATATAAAGTAAAACTGGTATTGTTTTCAAAGTCTATAAGTGTAATGTTTTTCATAAATAAATACATAAAAATGTATATTTAGTTTTGCTAATGAGTATATTTTTGATCAAACAAAGCATCTCCTACTTTTAAAACTCTTCATGTAAGTTACTATACACTATATCATTATGTTATTCAATTTGAAAGTCAAAATTAATCGTTTGCCATAATCAATTACTCTGGCAGTGAAGCTGACCTGGTAAATGATTTAATTTTCCACTCCATCCCATATCTTCTACATACAGGATTCCAGCCTTCTAATGTCTGCAGAAATGTAGAGAATTTGATTTTCATTCAAAAAAAAAAAGAAAAAAGAAAACAGTCTGAACATTTCTTTCAATTTTAAGACTCCGATCTCGATTCAGCGGCCTACAAATTCTATCCATCCATCCATCCATCCATCCATCCATCCATCCATCCATCCATCCATCCATCCATCCATCCATCCATCCATCCATCCATCCATCCATCCATCCATCCATCCATCCATCATCCATCCATCCATCCATCCATCCATCCATCCATCCATCCATCCATCCATCCATCCATCCATCCATCCATCCATTTTTAGATAACTCTTATATCTATTCGTAGGAACCCATCAGAAGGTCTTGTTTAAAGAGTACAAACAAAGATGGAGCAACGCTTCCTGAGGTGTCTCAGACATAGAAGCACTAAAAAGGAGTTTATTTGTCTCCTAAATATGCTCAAATTTGCTGCAGGCTGAAAAGCTTAATGTGTCTGATCCCTTTAGACATGTTTTAGTGGAACTCTGCCTTTCAGCAAAGCTCCATTAGATAGATGATGCCTAATAATGTACAACGGAGGGTTAAAGGATGAATGTGCACTGATCTCAGTGTGCTGTCTTTGGGCCATACAGCAAAAAAAAGATGGGAATGTCTTTATTTAAATGTGTTCTTTCAACACCCCAACAATGGCATAAAGTTAATGTAACTGTGGTTTGCTGTAAAATGTGTAGAGCAAGCAGGAGAAAGACACGACCTGTAATGTGTCGTTTTGGCCCTGAGACCGAATTCAGTGTGGCATAATGGGACAGAAAGCTTTAGATGGGGAAAACAAACCAACAAGAAGGGAGAGCAAAATAGCTAGTCCTCTCTACATCTCTCTGAATTTGGTCTCCTGGAAAGATAAAGGGTTAAAGACATCTTCATTTGCTTTCATTATATGCAACTAGATGATGGCTAACAGCAAGTCATCAGGGACCATTAATAGTTAATAGAGGACTATCTCCTAGTTGCAGAAATTTCCTCATTCTAATAATGGAAAAGGTGATAACTAGTCTAATAAAACCTCAGTGCTACACTGACACCAAGTCTTATTTCTTTTCTTGTGTTTTTGCAAAGCTACAGTAACAGTCATCTCTACCATGAGTAAATATTTCACCAACAAACAGAAGAATGGAAACTCCTTCATCCAATGATGGTCAGGGTTGAGTCCTAAGGCGAGCGTTGAAATATAGGCGAACTATGAGCACAGCACAGTCAGGAGAAGAGTCAGAATGTTTTGTTCATTTCATAAGAGCCCTATTTAAAATGCATTTGAGACTCCTCTGCATATTAAAATGGAAATGACAAGCTGTTTTACATGTCTAGAGAGACGGTCGCGACTGTGGGCAGTGGGCAGTCTGTCCGTGGTTCTGCCTGAGTGAATCACCCCTACAGGTGAGATGTGCAGGGGTCAGACCGGCAACAATTTCCCCAACAGATAACAGACTCATCTGTTAAAAGCTCTTCCTCATTTTCTGCCATGAACATCCATGACCAAAACATGTCTGATGATTCAAGGGCTCATCATCTTGTTTTGTTATTTTATGTTTTGCAAATGGCGGCTCATTTTCACTGGTGGGTTGTGGTGATATGCTTTCATCTGTCCTAAAGTTTAATCCTCAGCAGATGTTTTTTTGCATGAAGGGACCAAACAGCATCTAACTGATGCTGTTTGCTGCTTTATGATAACCTTGTTGATCACAAGAGGCTTTGAAATTTTGCACCATGCTTCTGATGTGTGTTGTTGCACCTTTTAAGCCATCTATTTTATTATCGCTGACCAGGTAAACTTGTGTGACCTCAATGAGTCCTATGTGGCCAAAGTTTGCCTGAAAGATTTGAGGGACCAGTGCTGGTAGTGTGGACTCAAGAGGAGATGCAGATGGGCTTTCCATTTTTGTCATACTGGTACACCAACATCTTGATGCAGTGAGAGTTGGCTGGTGAAATCCAAGGGCTGCTTGTGATGGAGAAGTTGTGACTGGCGTAAAATGGCTTTGGCTGCTTCCGGCAGTGGATGAGGGCTCGGAGCATGTTGGTCGCCATGGCCCGGAAACGCTTGCTGATGAAGCAGTACAGGAAGAAGTTGACACCAGTGTTGAGCAACGCAAGCATGTTTGCCACGTCGGTGAGCACGTGGAGCAGGCGGCCGGCGGTTTGTGAGGTGGGCGGTGGAGAGTAGAAGTGGTAGAGGATCAATAGGGTACGCGGAGCCCACAGGACGGCAAAAACAGAGGTGATGGCGAGGAGAATAGCTGTGGTCTTGCCGGTGGAATAGCCACGTAACCTGAAGCAGTTGCGGCGCTTTCTCAGCTTCCGCACGATGCCGGTATTGAGGGAGAAGAAGACGGTGCAGGGAAGGAGGTAGACGGTGGCGCAGTGAGCCCAAACTAGGACATGCTCGGCCACTGTTCTTCTGCTGCTTTCTCCTCCACCTCCTCCTTCATCGCTTTTCCCTACCCCAGGTAGACTGTGCCAGAACTCAGGCCACCAGTAATAGGGTGCCGCAGATAGCAAACAGCCGACGTACACCGCAAATATCACTTTGCGTGTTCGAGCGGGGTAGGACACCGTGTGGTAGCGAAGTGGGTGGCAAACAGCGATGTAGCGGTCGATGGTGAGCGGCACTGTTATCCAGATAGAGGTGTGGATAGAGGAGAACTCCAGAACCTGCACTGCGTTGTTTATGGATGGGGGGAGGAAGGAAGCCAAGATGAAATCCTCCAGGATGAAATCAACAAACACAATGAGGAGCAGAACAAGGATGTCAGCAGCGGCCAGAGCCAGGAGATAGTTGTAGGAGGACTTCTGACGACGCAGCACCAGCTGGGACAGGATAACCACAGTCAAGATGTTAGCTAGGAGTGGTGAGTAAGAGGGTGATTGAAGGAATTGGGAAAATGGAGGTGAAGGTAGAAAAGAAATGGGCATAGGTTAGGGCAGGGAGGGAAACAGAGAGATTGATTGTTAGTGGACTCTGGTGATTACAACAGCCAGCAATAAACAACACAGAAATGCAGGAGCAGCTAACGGCGACAGAAATGCTGCAGACATTTATTGCAAATACTGACACAAGTTGCACAGGACAAAAGCATGCAAGCAATTTTAATTTGAACAAGATAAAAAGACCCTATCTGTCTTTGTTCATCCTTTTTGTTTCTTCACTTCATTGACACCTGCTGGGTAATTCCAGGAGCAGCTGCCTCTCCCTTTGGCCAAACTGTTATCTCCAATCAGGAGTAAAGTCACAACACAGTGACAAGGGCAACATGCAGCCTCACAGTCTTGGCTCTAATGTCTGCCGTCCATTTGGCAGTGATTTAGCTTCTGAAATGAAGCCACCTCCTCCTGTCTGCCTCACCTTACTGGTTTCCCCAGAAATAATCATTAAACATTCTCACTGATGTTGACAATGTTTAAATTAAATTTACAATGGCCAAATTTACAATGTAAATTTGGCCAATTTGCATCTACCTTCCATTCAGAGGTCAGAAAGCGCTGGTAAATTAAAGGGTTTTGAAATTGTAATAAATGATAATGTGAAAAAAAATATCAGAAAACACTCAGAAAGCCTTACATTTTTCATAAAAAGGGATAAATAATACAATTGATAAGAACACCTCCACATTTATTCACACTTAAAATGGTTAAATCCCACACAGGTATGTCATATTATGAGTGTCATCAGAGGACCTTTACTAAGTAATTTGAAAGTGACTTATTCCTTATATTTAAATATTTTGCTTCGACAGTCAGTGTTATCCTAACTGTTGAAGTGAAAATGAACACCATTGTGACAGCAATAGAACAGTTTGAAGCCTTACGAAAGAAAATTGTAGCAGTTTAATTGTGTATTATTAGATGAGGGACTTAGGTAGGTCTCAAAACAATTTGAAAAAAATGGAGGGCATTAAAAACAACTGCCAACATGCCCAGGGCGGGCAGTTCACATGAGTTCACCCTCAAAGCTGGCTGCAAGAAACCACTAAGTCTGTGTCAAGAAAATCCTAAATGAAAATGTGAGAAATTAAAGCCAAGTAGTGCTTGACCCAACAGCATAAAGATGACACTCAACAAAGCAGTGAATCCAACACCAACACACTCAAGTACTGGGCTGAGTTTTGAGATGATCAACCTTTTGAAACAAGGAATACATGAATATATGTACCAAGCATATATTGTGAAGTCACTACAATTTCAAAGCATTAGATGTGGATGTGATGAACAGTCAAATTTCTTTTAAGTCATTTTTGATTTATACAACACTTTCATAACAACTGAGGGTAATCTAGTAATTTATTTGTTCTATATTGTCTCTTATTTAAGTGCAATTCACTTCCTTCCATAAAAGGGTATAGCCATTTTGTGGGCTGTATAAAGAATTTAAAAATATTGCAATTTAGGATTTTTTTTTCTTCACAAACATTTACAAAATAATTAATAAATACCTCAGAAGGATAACTTGTAGTTCTGCTACCCAACTAACAAAAACACAGTACTGTACCTATCCTTTTTTCAGTGAATAAGACGAATATTTCAATGCAGCCTGTTGGCACCATGTCAATCATGTCCAGTGTGTTACCTCAAACAGAGACACTTCTGACATCCTACTTTAGCTTCGGAGACATTAATCCACTTAGCAGCCATCACTGTACATGCAAGCTTGTGTGATCGTGTCCCTGTCTGCAATAATGCATCTGGGATTGGATTAAATATGGCAGCTTGGAGTCTGGGAGATCACACTTCACAGCCTCAGCCACTATCCAGTGATTACAAATTACAAAGATGGCTCTGGATAATGATTAAAGATGTGCTTGCAAGGCTGGGAGGTTGTGCAGCAGCGAATGTTGGACTCTGAACATGTACACACAAACAGATCATCAGAGATGAGCCAATTCATTAGGGTCTGATCTATCAATAACTGTAAATGACATGCTGAAGCTGTTTGGAAGATTTAGCACACCAATGCATGAAGGGCTACTGAATGCTGCACTCTCCAGCTTGGGTAATATCCAGAAAAGGATTTGGAAAATCATCGTTGGCACTGGGAGTTTTCTAGAAGACTTGAGTTATTTTTTTTTCATAAAATGTTCCTGTAGTCTATGATGTATACTGCTATTAAAAATACACATTTTGTTTATGTTTTTGTGGTTTGTAACAAATATATTAACACGATTGTAGTCCACATTTGATTTGGAAAGTAATTAGGTCTATTTCACGCATAATTCTTTCACAAAAATATTGAATTAAGTTTTCGTTGGTAGATTGGCAGCTTTTATTCTGATGTCCAATGCTAGTCCTTGGTCGTTATTTATTTTGCAGTGGGTGCAAAACTAAAGATAAAGGACATGTGAAGAACAAAAGAAATGTTAAAACTTCAGTAATTATTGGAAAAGTCATTTTTCCTTCAAGTCATGCTTCAGGTACTTACAAGCTTTTTGTCATGTGTCGATTCGCGAAAAAAACTGAAATTCAGATTGTGGACCTCTTGTTCTCATGGGCTGTTGTCTGTCCACCTTTAACACATTTTACATATTTTATTTCTGGTTAAGACCATTTTCCAAGATTATACATCAACCGGTTCCCTCTGCATCAAAACATAAATAAATTAGGTGTGATTTAAACACTTTTTTCTGCATTTTAAATCATTTATGACTGGACAGCACTTTGCCACAGGGACAGCAAAGCAACAAGAAAAAGAAAGTTTAATCATAATTGCATTGATTGCTTCCTTCCTATCAGATTTGCCAATAACGTCAAAGCCTTTGGATGACTAATCAAATGAAATAGTTGTTCTGATGTAACAAATGACTCAATATGCTATAGGGATTTCTTTAGAGCCTCATTAACAAATTTGATTTTATGTCAAAAGTCATTGTTGGCTGTTGTGTAACAAAACTCAATCCAATGTCCTCAAAGCTAATAGGATGACTCTTCATCCGTGTAATTTTGTATTAGTTTTGTATTAAACGGCTTTGAACAGCTCTTGTCACATCCAAAACTGGTTAGTCCTTTGTCCGGCAGCAGAAGGAATAACAACTGCAAGCCTACATGACCGTCCACCCAAACTTGCAGACTGGGTGAGCAAAGCATCAATATAAACAGCTGCCACAGGTAATTTGGGAGAATATATTGACAGGAAAACTAGGTGTGCACTCCACAAATCTTGCCTGTAGAGAGGAATGCCAAAAAACCCCTGGAAGATGCATTTTCAGTTTGCCACAAGTCACAAAGAGGATGCAGCAAACATGTGGAAAAAGGTGCTCTGGTCATATACAACACTGTGTATTCACTGAACAAACCATCTCAGTGAAACATGGTTGCAGTCAGTGGTCAGGGGTAATAGGAAATGAATGGAGCAATCTAGGAAGAAAACCTTTTAGTCAGTAAAGTCTTGAGATTGGAGCAGAGGTTTCAGTTTCAGCAGGACAAAAACCCTGAACATACTGTGGAGTTACAAAATGATGGTGTGGGTTGAAGATTGTTCACCTTTTAAAAAGTGAAAACCCAGAAAAAAATCCAATTAAACAGATGCCCACAGCCAATCTCCATCTCCTTCCAATCTGACAGAGCTTGACATGTTTGCTCTAGATTTGTTGGTGTCATTGCAGCAAACACACACTAATGCTGGAGACCAGAAATGGAAACCTGTCGTGGCTGCTGGGCTGCCTCCAGGACAATGGCTGGTTCTTTTATTGCTCAGGGCCAATAAATAAACCAAAAATGATGTAAAAACTCATTTTTACATCTTCTTGGTTCAATAAAATATTGATTCTTGAAGGGATGAATACCAGATTCACTCACACCTTCCGGATTTTTATTTATGAAACTGTACAATTTTGTGCTAATTTGGGTTTGTACATTTCAAATCCCCTCTCTATAGTATCTCCATCTATCAGAGCACTTGCAGTTGAAGTGACATAAAATGGGGAAATGTGAGATATTTACTGTCCCTGCCTGCACGTTATTCTGTTTGGGCTGCAGCAGGGGCCCTCTACAGATGAACAAAAGGGATCTCTTGCGAACTTGACATTTTCCATTTAGCTGCAGCCGCCCTGCAACGGGGTTGCCCAGCCATTTCAATTGATTCCTGCTTTTTTTTTTTTTTTTTTTTTTTTTTTTTTTTTTTTTTTTAACGTTGTCTTTGTGGATCTGCTTGGCATTTAGCAGGGATGTTGGCGCAGAGGCCAGGCTCGTCTCAGCGGGGAAAGCCGAGGCGCTACACACAAATCAGACTCACAGATTGATGAATCCAAAGTTTCACCTTCTTTGTTTAGTTTAAAAAAAACAAAGGATCTCTGACTGAGAGGAAAAATAAAACACAGGGTTTATCAGACTTCATTTGTCAAGGTGGGTGTTCTATATTATAAGGACATCCATGGCCATTGACGTTGTGTTGCGGGAAGAGAAAAGACACAGAGTGCTTCCTGATGCGTGTAACGAGGCTGACTCATGCCGCCATTAGAGGCGGGCTGTCGACATATGAACCTGCACCGTTCAATCCAGAGAAACAAAAGTTAGAAACATGAGTGACTGATGCTTGCTCATGGGTCTCGTATCAAACACAGAAAAGAAGAAAGAAATAATGTGGAAATTATTTGGAGCAATTTGCAGCTTGACAGCATTACTGGATGCTCTGAAGAGCAAAGAAAGGCAAAAGAGGAAGAGAAGAAAACCTTGTTCTGATGAAGGTCGCAAAGTTAAGGAGAGAACAAGAATAAGAGGGAATGAGAGGTAGGATTATAAGTACTAAAGAAGACAAAAAGAGAGGTGCAGAGGAGAACTGTCCGGGGGGAAAGAAGGAAGGCAAAAGACACAGAGAGGAGGTGAATATCAAAGCTGGCTTCAAAGGTCACAG